GGTCACCGGCTCGATTGGCCATCGAGGTGTATTGGGCACCTTGGACGTTTGACCCCGTCCGAAAGGCGTATGATCCAATGAACTGGATACCGGCCCCAATAGATTGCGGTTTTCGCACACCGTTCCTCTGCCTTGCTGGTCAAGCTTTGGGTTACCAAAGGCTCCGGTTGTGGATTCCTCAAGAAAATTCACTTGCCTTGGCCAGGACAACCTGAGAGTATTCCGCCCACATGCAAATCTTGGAACGTCTTTCTTTTTCATTAAGATCATTGCACTATGATTTGTTTGGTACACAGTCTGAATTCAGACGTGTGTGAAAATGTAATATATACAGTGTTTCCTACCTTTTTCGTTCACACTTCGCTTCCTCTGTACAAGATGGAGCTCAATTACAATGAATTTTGCACTGTTTTTTGATAAATTACGTATTATTACGTGTTAGTGCAACAATGCACTGTTTCAGTATGGAGGCTATGATTACCAAACTCACCTATGAATTCGCGGACTCGTATAGCGGATTCAAACACCTTGGATATCTAGATTCTCACTTTGTATCTCCAATGCATCCACCTAGTTTAGCATCCGACGAAAATGGCATAGGCCAGCATTATACTCAATTAGTAGATCAGTTAATCAGTCACTGAAGTTCCCAGCACATGTAAGCTGCCAAATCAGATCGTACCCGCACGTTCCAAAATACCTGGTTGCATTTGAAGCAATGGAAGTTGTCAGTGCATTCTTTTTCCCCCTTTTTATCTGCCAGTATTCGTATCGCTATGGTCTTAACTGTTGATTGTTTAGGGATTTATCAGTTGACCCGAAACGTTTTTACTCTGTAATCTTTGTTCGAATATGTTCTTCCCGTCTTTGAATCAATGCAGGACATCACAAGTAAAACACCCCTAATGAAAGCAGCTCGGAGCGGTAAACTGTGGGCAGTACGACGATTGCTTTCTTTCGGTGCCAATGTGAACGTACGTGATCGGAACGATGAGACCGCACTGCATTTTGCCTGTCGTCAAGGCTCCACAGAAATTCTCAGTATGCTTATAAAGGTACAGAGCAATCTAAATCCTTCTATTCCTAATGATTTTTATTGTTTAATTTTACGTCAGTTGAACCGTTCGCATGTCAAAACTCAACAAAGACACCGATTCAGTAGATGCACATGCTGCTATGAAACTGACTGAAATTTGCATTCCTTTTCCTTCCCTAATCGGGAAGCTATTCGCCTCATCGCCGAACCGACTCTAATTATAGTCCGACAATAGATAATGGCCTTCTGGGTTTTTCTTTTACTGGTTCTGCTGAGAAATTTTCTCTTGGGATTACTTCTTCTGCAATTTCTTCTCTGAATTTTTCACTCCATTCTTGTGCGCACATTATCCATCACTCTTACCGACTAGACGTGCCTAAATGGCAAAACACAGATTTCGGTCTTTCCGTTTCCCGGACTTTGAACTTCGAGCTTTTTGTGAAAGCACAATCAAAAGGTTTGTTCTGATTTGAATATTTCTCTGTAATTTTCGGCGTTCTTTTCATGGCATTCCCCTCAATTGTTAATCTTGCAGTTATAAATTTAGCTAGGATTTAAAATGCAGATTTTCTCTAGATATTAAACCGTTAGGAAGTTAAAAGTTAATACGCGAACTATGAGAAATCAAGTTGAGATGAATCAAAATATTGAACACCGTTAACTCACCATAAACAATCAAAATAAACAAGGGTTGCAGAAACTTTCTCATTTCTAAGTGGATCATTTCACTGGAATATCCCGGCAATTTACTCTAGGTGTTTGAAACGGTTCCCTCATGCTTGCTAGAAATGCTGACAAAACCTACGTCCCAATTTCCTGTGGCTCCCTTCTCTGTAGAACCAAGGCCCAGTAGTTTGCATTCAACATTAAAGCTTACCTCAAATAGGCGTTTATTGTTCCTT